TCACAGAGAGCACATTGGTTAAACAATGACCATAACTCATCCACATGACTGACACTGACAGAGGATCTGCAAACTGTGAGAGAGGGTTTCAGGGTAAGTCCTGAGGGGATTTGATTGACCTTGTCAGATACAAAAGTTACATTTCTTGTTATATAGGTCTTGCTTTATCTTGGTCTTAACCATCCAGCAGAAATGTGTAGTAATGAAGTATGAAAAGTAAAGCTATATTAATATGCTGAGCGTAAATGACTCAAGTCAATGATTTCCGACATTGCCAGTCCTATGGATAACCCACTACTATTATTAACTACTGAAATATATTGGATTATTTTGCTGAATTCACACACCTACAATATTTAAATGGCAATAGAATACTCATCTCTGACAAAATTAAGCAAAGAAAGGGAATATAATTGAAGGACCATTTTGTATCTGTATATACAAAATAGCTAGGATAGATATACAGCTACTTTCTCTTAATTCAATGAGAAGAAAGATTTATACTAATAATGTTTGGACAGGATATCATGTCTGAATCTTGTACTATGAATAACTACTGTGAAGACAACAATATACAATGTATTAATTATTGAAACTGTCCCACTAACCTTTTCTGAAACTGTCTCATAAAAAAAATTAAAAAAATTAATAAAAAATAAAATAAAATAAATAAGGTGATAGGTTTGTGAGAAAGGCCCCCACGGCTCCCTGTGTGGGGCATCATTTGCTCAGTAGCTGCTGATCAGTCTGGTGCAGAGCTGACCTGAAGAATATGTTTAATTGAGTCAATAAAGAATAGACAAACCTCCTCAAAAAAAAATGAAATGGCTTCTACACTTTGTCTAGAAATGAGAAATAGACAATACAAAAGTAGAATAATTTCTTTTGTTATTGAACATCAGATTTTTTAAATCCCCGAATTGGCATGGTATTGTTACTAAAGACTTTGCACAGGCTTGATATTCCATTATTTCTATTCTCACCTGAGGGCCTTGGTTTACACCTGGGGTCAGTGGATTTCCAAGAACATATTTCTTAGCTCGCTCAACACTCCTCCGAACAAACTCATCATAAATTGATTCTTCCACAAAAAGCCTGGACGCAGCTATACAGCACTGTCCCTGGTGGTGGAATAGGCCTCGGTGGGAGAGTTCAATAGCATTGTCCACTGCAAAAGTAAACGAACAGAAACCATCAGAGAAGAAATATAGTCTAAAAGGTGCATGTTGAAATATGTTCTCAGAGGTAACATGGTGCTGTAGAAAAACGACGGGTCTTATGCTCAGACGTGGCTCTGTGTAGTCCATCTCTTGAAATCTAGGTGGTAAGTGAGTCTTTGTCATCTTTCATGTATTTTGAAAATAATGTCAATACGTGGAATATGGAAAAATGATGGTTATTATCAAAATTTTAATATGGCTATGACTAAGAATGGGAATTTCATCAGGAAATCAAATACCACTGCAAATGTTTTTCACAAATATCTGCATTAATAATTGGGTGACTGTGAAAT